TTCTCAAAATGTAGAAAGGTCTAGATAAATGTGCCATTACACTTTCATTATGCAGTGACTGTGAATTGACTGCTTTTGACACTGGTACACGAACTTGGTCTACATACGAATGCAGTTAACAAGACTCACAAGCATCCCAGGCCAAGGATAATTAATGCTCTTAATGTGCAGCAGCTCTGAGAAGGCACATGGAATTCCAGTCAGGAATGCATGTCAGTATATACTTTGTCTCTGTTAACCTTGCCTAAAAGGACCAGAAGTCAGTAATCAATTTCTTTTAAAATTCAATGGCACTCAAGATATTAAAGAGAACAGAGCAGATCTTAATGTATTTCAGAATTCCCTGAAGTCATGAGTCAGGGCATGGAAGGGTGAGCATTGCTAAGCACAGGCACACTACTGGTGGCACAAAGGTCTGGACACAAGACCTGGCAACTTCTACCACCAAGGCTGACTAGTTTCTGTTATTTGTTTTTATTTCCAACAATTGCAACTACTCTTAGCTCCGCCTCTTCTAATTCTGTGACCTGATCAGTTTCGGAAACCTGAAGTTCTTGGGTTCATTACTAAACTATTCTATTTGGAAGTTTCTTCCTTAAGAAGATTCCTTATTGATTTCATTTTCATTTTTTCAGTAAGTTCCTTTTATTTTAGCCATCTGTGAAATGACATTGAAAAAATAAATAACCTTATTCAGAAATCAGGAAAGTCAATGACAAGATAGAAGGAAGCCTGCTTTTTTCATTTTAATTTTTGTAAACCTTCCCAAAGTTTAATTTATCCTTAGTACTAAGCTGCTTGAACTTAATTTATGAACATGTCATACATCCCTTATCTGATCAACGGAGCTGTACCACCTTCTCACCTCGAAGAAAAGCAGAGCCGTCTTGCAAGCAGAGACAACACAATTAGAAGTGTAGCCTATCACTTCCGTGGTTACTGGGCATACTAATCAGACTTTGATAATGCCTGTTACCATGACAGCAGTGGCTCAGAGATTTTCTCATTAGTGCTTGACCAGCAATGGTCCTTTCAATAGATCTTTCCTGTTTCCCCACTCAGTTACTGAAATTAAAATGAGGTGAGATGCATCATTATTCGCATGTAACAGGAATTTACTTTTAGTGCTTTCTGATGGCAGGAGGGTACTAAATAGTGCCACAGTTCGTTTTTCTACAGCGCATGAGATGAAAGTAGTGGAGGAAAATACATTTAACCACACATGCTGTTAGCGAGACATATTATACAGTGCATATTCTTTTTGTAGACTTAATGAAGAAGAAAAATGGTCATTACAAACAACCACCAAAAATCTTCTTGGTCTTCTTAGGTTAGAGATAAATTCTGACAGATTTTTTATTTTAAATCTCAAACATTTTATAATGCTTAATATATGTAAATCAGCACTGGAGACTATATTCACATAATATATATAGAGAGAATGTTGTGTTAAAAAGATGTTGAAATTTGAATTTATGACCTTTGATTTTTCACTTAGCCTATATAAGTTAGTCCATGAAAGAGCTCATTGCTGAAAATAATGTTTTCCTGTGTTGATCTATAACTTAAAAATAAATGCATTAGAAGAAGGTTTCAGTGGAAGAGGGAGGAGGATATAGGATGCAGACATTTTTAAACATTTTAAACATTTAAAAATCATTACATATGTGTATGAAACTATCAAACTTTTTAGAAAAATAAAAACAAAAAGAAAAAGATTTGTTTTAACCATGACACTTTCTTATTTTAACCTTGGGTGGTGCATGTAATCATAGTTTTCCTCAGAGCTGAATTATGGAGCCAGGTCCATTTTATAGCCTTAGACAAGACCTAGGGTTGGAAGTAGTGTATAGGGGCACCACCTATAGTCTTCCTATAAGATAAACAAACTATTAAATTTCCTTTATCAATCTGTGGGTGGCTTCTGTAACTTTCAGTTGGAGACATTCTGACAGTAACCAGCATTAGAGCTGCTTTATAAAAGATAATAATTTTTATTAATTTTTAGAGAATTCTATACCATGTGTTTGGATGACATTTACCACCCCTCCCCACCATAACTCTTTTCAGATCCATCCACCTCCTCCCCACACCCTACCCCATCTCAACTTCGTGTCTTTTTTTTCTTTTTAATTAGCAAATCAAGTCCAATTTGTGCACCCATATGTTCATGCTATATACCACTCTAATGGGGTACCCTACCAGGGGCCACAACCTTAAAGAAAACTGACTCTCCCTCTCCCATAAGCCATCAGCATCAATAGCCCCTCAATTAGGAGTGGGAGCTTGTGAGCCCCTACCCTGTCCATGCTGGAATGTTGACTGGCTTGATCTTGTGCAGATCTTGTGCAGGCAACTACAGCTGCTGTGAGTTCATGAGTCCAGCTGTTGCATCACATCCAGAAAATGCTATTTGGCTCAAGTCTTTCCAGTTCTCTGGCTCTTACAATCTTTCCACCCCTTCTTCTGTGATGGTTCCGAGTGTTGGGGGCAGGGATTGTGACATAGATGTCGAATCTGTGGCTGAGCACTCCACAGGCACTTATCTCTGCACTTTGATTGGATGAGTTTCTGTGTTAACCACTGTCTACTGTACAAAGAATTGTTTCTGATGAAATCTGAGAGCTGTACTAATCTATGGGTATAGAGAAACAAATTTAGAGGGTAGTTTAATACTATGTCCACTTAGCAGAATAATAGTACTAGGTTCAACCCCAGGGCCCATAAGCTCTTCACCAGATTTACAGACCAGATATGCATTTCCTCCCACAGAGTGGGCCTTCAATCTAATCAGAATGCAACTGTGACATTCATAGCAATCATAAGATTTCCACCACTATTCCACATATGGGCATATCTTTCTACACCAATCATATAGGTCATAGAGTTCACAGCTGGGTAAGACTGTTGATGACTTTTTTTGCCTCAGCAGCCTACATATCACCTTCTGACACTATGAAAGCTAGCCAGCAGGGAAAACGCTTCCTGGTCAGTAAACTGTCCTCCACTTCATTAAAAGAGCATACAGATTCTGTGAGATCATTCATAGTTTGATTTTTGAAGACGCATCCATCCAGCAAGTAAAAACACAGCATGAATGAATTCGTCATAGAAATTATGAGGAATCATAAGTCCACTTAGTGCTGTTCTTATGTGCAGAGTCTGGGACCATTCACTGGAGCATAGGAAAACTCCTGGTGGTCACATCTTCAGTAAAGTGTGATCCTCCCTCCCTCAACAACTGTCAACTGCCAATAGCTCCTCTCCTCATAAGGAGGTGGAGCCTGGATTTTGGCTAGTGTGATCTTGTACAGGTCATGTCCAGAAGACAGCATTTCACAGCACTCCTCCCTATGCGCTGGCTCTTATGTTCTCCCCCCTTTCATTTCCCTGATGTTCCATGAGCCGTGGTGTTGGTGGGGATAATGTAGATGTCTTGTTTAGGGCTGAGCACGCTATCTCTTACTGTTACCATGCAGACCATATTTCCATTGACTGCTGTCCACTGCAAAAAGAAGTTTCTCTGAACAAGGTTGAGAGCAGCCCAGATTTATGGGTATAAGCATAAATATTTAGAGGGCAATTGATGGTATGACCATTTAACAAAATAATAATAGCTGGGGTTCTACCCTATGGCCTATGACCTCCTCAGCCATGGGCTTTTGGCCAGGATTTCATTAACAAGCATGAAATTCCCTCCTGTAGAGCGGGACTGAAGTCCAATCAGAAAATGGCTTGTTAACCTGTGACAGGAGTACCACTACTGCAATAGTAGGCACATCTTGCTTGGAAGGTCTGAATTGCAGCCTGCAGTGTCCATCACTAGAAAGTGGAATTCAGTTGCATGACTATAAGAAAGCAATTAACAGTGACAAATTTTGTATTTGGAAAAACATGACTATGTAGATCATCCAACACTAAAGATCATTATTATATGTTAATAGATGACAGATGTTGAAATAAACTTGAAATGGCTGCATAAGACCTAACACTTATTTGGGCTGAAGGGATAGCTCAGCTGTTAAAGGCTTAGGCTAACAACCAAGACCTAACATACCTCTCAGGCCATATATGTTTTTACATATATTCAAACCTCATGTCAAAAATGACAAAGGAAATGGATTTTAAAAAAATACTTGGAGGGCTGGAGAGATGGCTCAGTGGTTAAGAGCACTGACTTCTCTTGCAGAGGACTGGGGTTCAATTACCAGCACCCACATGGTGGCTACGAACTGTCCTTAACTCCAGTTCCAGCGGAATCTGAAGCCCTCTTCTGACCTCTGTGGCACTGCACGACATGGTTGCACTCACATACACGCAGGCAATACACCCATACACATAAAATAAAAATAATAAATAAATAAAAATATATGTTAAAAACTCTTGGAAACAAAGTTCTAAATGTTTATGCCATGAATCCAGAAGAATAAAAGCCTTTCGAATTAGGTGGAAGTAAGTGACCAACGTAAAGTCAGATGGGCTGGAACACAGCAGAAACAAGATAAAGCAGGGACAAGTATATGCTTATCCAAGCTCTCGATGTCTATGGAAAGCTGCTTATTTCTCTAGTTAATATTTATTCTGCAGTAAATAAAAGTTGGTCACACTATGACTTCTTTTCTTCCTTTGTGTGTGTCTTCTGTGTTTGTGTGTGGTGTATGCCTGTGTGTGAGGATGTCACCAGTTCTCTGGCATACTGAGGACAGAGGAAGACGGCAGGGCAGTGTCTTCTATCGCTCGCTGCTCTCCACCCTATTCCTTTAAA